CCCCAAAACCCCAAAACCCCAAAACCCCGTGGATGTCTTAATCGAGATAAAATTGAAATTTTGATAAATATTAATAGATTGAATGAAGTGAGATATGTTTTGTTCTATAAGATGGTTTGTAATAATTATTGTTTGTATTTGACTTTGCTGTAGCAAATCTTACTTTCTTCAAATAAAGAAATTTCTTCATAGTGTGTCATTTTACTCCTATCTCATCTAGATAGCAAAAGTCTCGTGCGAGTACTTTTTGACAGCAGTTAAGTTTGGAGAGCCTGAATTTTCTTGATTGCTGTATTGGAAGAAGTGGGAATCATCATCATGTAAAGGCATCAAATCCTTTAAGATACTCTCTTTCTATGGGCTACCACTACCTGAACTAGAATTTTTTATCATTTGGGTCTAGTTTGCAATAGGGTTTTAGTTATTATTAGATTAAGCTTAGTTATTAAAACTTGCCTCTTTTTATTAAATTACATCAGTTACATTTTCCTCTTCGTGATCGCTATCTGTTGATTACGAATAGCTGACTTCTTCACTTATTGGACTAGGAATATGATAAATAATATAGAATTTACTCATGAAATGAATCCTCTACATGCATAGAAGTGGTATCCTCGGAGCTACCTCCGCTTTCATTTGATTACTCAGGCATTGCACTCTAGTTGTCTTCTTCTGTTCTACCGCCTATAACTATAAAAATTTGATATTTTTACCCTAAGGGAAATAGTTTATGGTATGTGATACAAGTGATGGCGCAAGCCCACTGTTGCCAGAATATTAACTTTAATTATCATCATGAGGCTATTATTCTGGGATTGCTCTAATTTACTTTCCTTAAGTAATTGTAGATAGATTAGTATCAGTTTATTAATGATTGATTGGGATGTGACTTGAAAAGACTTAACTTTGAGGGCTCTAATTTTACATCAAATTGTGTGTACCTCTAATTCCAGGAGTCTAACTATTTGAGGTTCCACCTCCAAAACTATACTACGTAAAAAGATTAGCACTTCTTAGTCCACCTTTCTTTTTACCTTTAGCTCTCCTTGATCCTCCACCAGGAAGTCTTAATCTAGATTAAAACTATGCTTTTAAATCAGTAACGCCTTATATATTTATCTTCTCTGGAGTTGAGCCATTTTGAATGAAGGCATCTAGACTATTAATTTTTTGATTATAACCTAAATCAACTAGCTACTTTTCAGGCTCCAACGATTTGAAGTCCTCTCTTTCTCTCTCCTTTTTAAACTAGCTCGCTTGCTTGTATTACTTCTTATCCTTTAATGCCACTCTCCCTACACTTTTACTTCCAAGTTAATGAGGCTCTTGAGAGGCATCATCAGAACTAATTTTTGAAATATTTTCTTCCATAGTTTCCATCTGTTTCAAATGCTCAAGGCTCGTCATGGATTTGGTTTCAGCAGTAAATTTAACCTTCTTTGATATTGCGTTTGGGTCTAAATACTTTTGAGACATTTCTTCTTATTCATCTTAAAGGTCATCATTATTCACTTTAAACCTAAGGATTTTTGGGATCTCTTAAGAAGATTGCTACTGTATTTAGAGCTCTACTATCTTTATCTGATCCTTGATATTTATAATGTTTATAGGTATAGGAGATCCATTCTATGATGGCTATCGCTTCAGTTCGGTCTTAATCTCCTCTGATTCATCCAATCCAAGTGATAAATCTCGGTCAGATTAGTGGTCTAACTTTTCTGGTGTCTACATGCTTTAATTTTGTTAGATCAGCTGTCTCTCAGATTTCTATTTCGATTGTTTTCCAGGCTATGTACTCGGAAGCTGCATAGATTAAGATTTCGGTATACTCATAAGTATCACTTCCATCTGCTTTTCTTATTCACTTTTTTCCTTATCTTTTTCATTTTTTACTTTTTCAATATTTTCTTAAACCAGTTTCGTCTCTGCCTCTATTTTTTCTTGTTCTTCCTTTTCCTTTTTTTTCGCCTCATTTATAGCACTCTGAATTTTTTCTTCCTCAATTTTCCTTTGCTGATCTGAGATTCTCTTTTTTTCATCTCTTAACTTTTATTTTTCTGAGTCATAAACTTTTTCTTTTTTATCCTTCTTAGGCTTTACTGGCTATTTAGAACTTTAAGCGGCAAGCTTTGCTGCTTCACTATCTTCGAACCCTCCTTCATCTTCAGCAAAATCATTATAGATATTAAGGAATTATTTCTTCATATTTTTCTTCTCCTAATCTGTAATTTTACGACCTTTGTCTTCTTCATCCTATCTCAGAATGATATGGACACTCTTTGACTTTGGACTATCATCAAGATCAGAGTCTTCCTTCTATTGAGGATTACTTTGATTATCCGAGGGATTCTTTGCAGCTGATTTATTTGGGCGGAACTTATTTTTCTTTAAATCACCCATAGATTATCCTCTCTTATACTTCTTCAACTTATCCTCTATTTCAGGATTTGTCTTCTGCATATACATTTCTAGTATTTCATGTTTATTAACTTTTTGCTTAATGATTTGCTAAGCATCACGGCTTGATAGTTAATTTTTAGAAATCAAATTGTACTCATGATGCATAATTGTGGCCTGCTTTCTTTGCTGATCAAATATTATGGCTCCTTCAGCAATTTATCTCAAGCACCTGACTATAGTCACATGAATTAATCCTAATGACTTATCTACATTAGAGTTATCAATTCTTGGGATAAGTGCAGCCTCAGCTTTTTTAATTAGGTGCTTTTATATAATTCTAATGCTTTTGACATTTTTTATATATTTATTGAATCTAGGATCGATAGTCATGTGCTTAGTCCTTACAGCAAACCTCTCTTTATGCTTTTCTTCATTTTTAATGCACAATACAAATGGGATGCAAGATGGATATTTCTTCATAGTTTGAATAATAAATCTCACAGTAAGATGTACTCCCTCAACTACAAGAGATTCGTTCCTCTTTTAATAATCGTCAATGATTTTTTCAAGTTCTTGTTAGACGAGGTGGCATTATTCTTTATAGCCCATTAAAGTCCTTTTCTTTTCAGAAGTTACGTCAGGAGGAGCCTAATGAATGTTTACTATGAATAGTAAAAATTACAAAAGCGGCGGTTTCATATGTTGAGGCAAATAATATTGGGTTCTCCTCCTTTGAAACAAAATTTCTCATCACGTGTCTGATTGTGTCAGTAGATAAAACTGTTGATATGCCAAGTCTACTACCTAATAAAGATGCTAGAGTACTCTTCCCAGTACCTGAAGTGCCAGCCAGAAGGACAAGAATATTCCTTTTAGACTCTATAAAAATTAAGATGTAGTATTAGCTTACAAACTAGATCACAAGCAATATAAAAATCTTTAAGATATTCTGGCCTTGAATATTTGTACTTTTCCAAATGCTTACTCAGCACATACTTGAAGAAGGGGGCTGAGGTTGTAATCGTAGTAATTTGACTATACTTATTCTTGCTACTTTATCTGGCTTACTCCTACTCACTAGATTCAAAAATTTCATTTGATTTGGCTTTGATGTCAAAATGCATATCGAAATCTATTGATTATGATAGATTATTTAGTATCTAGTTAATCTCATCAAATACTCCCTCCGCTATCTAATTAGCATTTATAGGTTTACAACCTATCACCTAGCATGTTGCCTTTAGTAATTCTCTGTTAAACTTCCTCACGTGCTTTGAGAAAGTCATCTGAATACTTGGAGTTCCTTAGATAAAATCATTAAGTGAGATTCTTCTTTTTTAAAATTCTTCTATTTCTTAATCTCTTTTAGTTGGGGAGAGTGGTTCCTTAAAAGCCTATTTTCTTGTACTTTAATTTCTTTGAAGATTTAGAATCGGCATTTGAGATAATTAATTTCCAGCATCAGAAAAATCAACCGAAGGTGCTGGCAAAGGGAAATTGTTGATACTTTAGGTGTCATTGGCTTGGTTTAAAGCAAAGACCATTTTTTAACTATCCTGTCGGACAATATCTTTATGAGACTTTTTTGGAATTTAATCATCAAACTATCTTTAATCTTTAAGCTAATTCGAGCTTGTCTGAGTTAAAGTGCCGGTATTAGTATTCTAATCTTTAGATTTTTAGTTATTCTTCTACTAGCATTCACAAACTATACATTTCTTATAATTTCTGTCACCATGATTAAAATGGTTAGGGATTTACTTTATCGGTGTACTGGCGCTTCTTTTTACTCTTACATAGCCTAACTTCATTTTTTGATCGATGCTCTGAATCACTTTAATCTCTTCATTTAGATTTAAATGACTTCCACTGTATTACGAAAGCTGGTCAATTTCTCCAGCCTTTTGTCCTGAAGATTCATTTGAAATCTTTCCAATATTGCTTTAGGATACTTCAGGTTTCTATTGATTACTTATGGTGCTTTAGGCTTTGTTTGTTTAGTGAAATTTATTCAACTCTTTCGCTTTTTATTATCTCATAAGATTGAAATTAAATTTGTCCATCACATAAAGAGTAACAATCTTGAAGTAATGCTAATCTCGCTTGAGAATCGGCTGAGCTTCTTTCGCTTTTACATTCATTTGCTCTCCTTTCTCCTTTTAAATATAATAATGTATTTATTTAAACACATTTTATCATTCTTATTTATTCGATCACATTTCGAAGGGGTTTTGGGGTTTTGGGGTTTTGGGG